GGGGATACTTACAGAGAAGCCATAATTATTCACATTTAAGACCAAAAAAGGCATTGTTGGCATCCCCTCGTGCAGAGTCTCCACGACCCTGCACAAATAATCTGACCAATCAAAATGACCGCATCTCTTCAACACATCAGGATGGACACCAACAAGGCAATTCAACCCAACCGTCAGGAATGAGACACACATTACCAGAGGCCACTAGCTACACTAACGTGCAATCAACTCACTTTGTTCCAAATTGGTTGCCTACAATGGATGCTGTGCAAGTGGCAAACTCAGGGTGGGTTGAAAATTGGAATTGTATGTACAAAATATCACATTTCAACCATCGCTGTGAGGCTCAAATGCTACCCAGCTTTTACAGATTCTGTCAACTTTTCAGAAAACCCCCTAAAAATACATTTACAATAATTTGGCACTGAAACCTGTAACGTCTGCAGGCAAGATCCTAGTCAGCATTACAGGACATCAACTACAAGTCAGTCAACTTGTTAGAGAAACACCACACACTGAAAGAAATCACTTGGCCTGTTTTGCAGACGATTCACAATACAATGCACCACCAGATGCTTGCCGCAGAGAGGCCAAGTCTAAAATCTGCAGTTAACAAAATCATGGCCAAATGGCTATTAATACAGTGAATGCCAGTATACAACATGAGGCAATTTTTGGAAGAAGCATCAATTAAAACTGACACTTGAAATAAACTGATAAATTTTCAACCCAACATCAAGAATAATGATGTTCTTGAATAAGTTCCCTGTGTGCAGCTGATGGAAAGAATTTGTTGACCGTTTTCCACATGCACTGGGAAAAATAGCCTCTTCCATGGCAACCTCTCAGTATGGTGCTGCATCGTAAAGTTCACCGCTTGTACTGCAATATCTACTCACCAGAACCTCATTGTCGTTGCCGCATGGGCAACCACTAGTGATGGGACAACTATTGCCCTTGATGGTGACCGAGGCGCCACTGGTGATGCTGAACTGCATCTTGCCGGTTTCAGAGGCCAGGAATGATGAGAAGCGACTGGTGGAATAGTCCTGCATGAGGCGAAGATCATCCAGTCATCTTACCAACAGAGTCACTTTGTCTTAAACTAGGTTTTGCCCCGATATCAAAGCGCGTGCCAACTCTAACTCCGTATTATCAGTGTGGTATGAGAACTGCAAAAAGTCACATGCTTACTCAGGTGGGATTCGAACCCATGAGTTCCTACTCACAGAGTACAGACTTCTCACAAGCAAGCAGGATGTGATGGGCTCAAATCCCACCCAAGCATGCTTGAGATTTTGTTCTGAACTATTACCACACTGAGAATTCATATTGCATGTACATGTACAGTACATGATGGTGTGAGGGTAGAACCACTGTCAAACATCTCCAATGCAAAAGCCAAATTAATTTCACTGAATCACTTCAACATAATATGGCAGGAGAGTGACCAGCATAAGAAATTCAGTATTCCTTCCTTATTGTAATGCACAAGAATTTCATACAAAATGCTCCAAAATTTCTTTTAACCTATTACAATCTAGCATGTTTTCTTTCTTTTTAACAACACTCCTCATAGTTTTAGTGAACCAAAAGTTGCTGTTCCCTGTACATTTATGTTTGGAGTAGTCAAAACTATCAATGATGCATACATCTTTAAAACAATGGATTCAAATCCTGGTTATAGGCATGGCATGAAATTTACCTGATATTTCACCACTCTTTTCATTTTTGTCACAAGCCACTTCAGCACCTTGAATGCATCTCATTTGACAACTAGAGAACTAATATGCAACCAGTTTTGTCCTTTTGAATGTCATGGCATATTTCTCACAGTGGGATGCCATTTCGGATCCAAGGGGCAGTTGCAGAGACTCAAATCTAGTTTCCATATGAGTATGACACAAAAATGTGGATTATGGAAACGCTCTTTCATGAATAACGCAAACATGGACACAGAGTCAGACATTTTGCCCAGTTTTTCCTTATGACTAAACGAATGATACCCTAACTCTCAACAAAAACAGCTAACCACAAACAAAAACCATCACAGTGGAATACCAGTTTTGATTCAAGAGGTGGTAAAGAATACAGAAGTATGATGTCAGTTTGAATCAGAAAATGTAAAGCAAACAAATGAAGTGCATATGCATGTTGGTTCATGCCAATGCATTTTCCAAAAATAATTGTGTGCATGAAGTATTCATGCACACAATTATTGATAGAATGTATGCTGTTGGCTTTTGTTACACCCACATAGAAACTAGGCTTTACCCTCGCCAACAACTTACCTTCCCAGAGAAGGTCATGGTCCCTACAGTGATGCTGCTATCCAACTTGACATTGAACACCTTGTCTTGGGGGAAGATGACGCTGTCATACGTACAAGGAACTCTCTCCGACTCCACAGTGATCAAGCTGTCCGAGTCCAACCAGTTGTCAGGATCAAACCAACTCTCGTCATTGGTGCGTGTGAAAGTGATATCTGTGTGAGACGAGGGATAGAAAAATGAGCAGAACCGGGTTGATAAATAACGGATCCTTCAGAAAAGTCAGTGAGGTTACTGTCAACAGACTGGATACTTGTCAATGGTATATATGCAAGAGTTTACATTTTGTTGATTCTATGCAATGTTGTAGTCGAGAACATCACAAGACCATGCACAAGACCAGTCATAAGTAACATGGTGAACAATGACAGGGGAATGCTTTTTTTGGAGTTCATATTGCAAGCTTGTAAGTTGGATTCAGACTGAAGGTCTTGTGTTGGCCTTGTGTGGTCTTGTGAAGGTCTTAAGTGGTCTCGACTACAACACTGATTCTTTGTAAACTCTTCTTTGTTTCTTGTAACGGCATGCCTGACACAAGCATTGCTTTCAAGGTTTTGCTAGCCGCCTATTCTATTTTCTCACTCACTGTTAATTATTATATTTTGTCATGAGGAGGAAATAAATGTAGTTGAATTGAAAAGGCCCTGAAATTTTTATCTTTATGAGGACAAGAAACTTCAAAAATACATTAACAGACTGCACACACTTGTTACCGAGTTATGGGGACTGCCTATTGTTGAAATGAAGACATTATGGGGACCTCAAACATTATGCGGACATCATTTTGTCCCCGCAATAGCGTTTTGACTTTCCTACAAAGCCTACCCATGCACACAGGTGCCAATGATAAGTGCCACAACGTGATTTGCACATCAACCAACTCTGCTGCATAGAAAGGCATTTGCAGACGTGCAGAAATCCACAAACATTTTGAAACCCACATCCACATACATGTAAGAACAAAAAATATTAAAGCAAATGATCACATCGTGTGGCGGGTCCAATTGGAAGTGCTGCATTTTAAAGGGGGGGGGGCTATGTGAACATGTTACCTCCACCATCACACTCAGGATCAGAAGCAGGACTGTCGGAGAAATTAAGCGTCATGTTGCTGGGCATCAGAAGTACCCCATCCTTGGGCAATACCACTTCCTTCACAGAGGTCATGTTGGTCTGGAGCAGGACACCTTTAACCTTCAGGGAAATAAAGGAAACATGAATTGTATACTGCCCATGCTGACACCCAAGGCAATCCTCTCTGGAAAAAAAAAATCTACGACAGGTGAGAAGGAATCCAACAGTAATCACTTTGTACCTAGCTTTCTGTGGAGCGTCAAGCCCCATGTAGGAGTATACATTTAAGTGTCTGGGGGCTCTTCTTTCTTCAATCATGCTGGTGGCTTTTGAAGCATCCAGGGCAGAGGGGGTAGAGTGAATTTGTTTTAAAAAAGCAGAAAGTGGATACAGAGTGTATTATCTCTACAGCGCGACACACCAGCGGTACAGGCTGTTTTCAAATACTCGACTCCGCAATCATATGAGGCTTCAACTATTTTTCCTACATGACTTGGAATTGTAAGTACATGTAAATTAACCCTAACACTCCTCAATCCTTCACCTGTTGGAGGATTGAGGACTGTTGGAATTGTAAGTACATTAATAAGTTTGATAGTGCCATAAAATAGCAAAAAAGGTTCGAAAGAGTCAAACATTACATTACTCTAATTTTATTTTAACACTTCTGGCCCACAATCGGGGCTTGATCTCAGAGACAAGCCTCAAACAGAGACGAGTATTGGAAAACGGCCTACTATATAACCTTTGACAACTTGAGACATGGTTCCCACATGCAGTATCAACGTTAAACAACATAATTCTATTCCAGTACTAGGGACATGCACAAGGTCAAGATCTTGCAGTCATGGCGTCTGGAGTCACGGCCATGCTGTCCTCCAAACTGGTCAATTAAACTTTCGTAAGAATCCCATTTCCACATACACTTCTCTTCAAAGGACCAGAAATAGGTACCAGTAAACACTGCTTAAACATCAAGCATGAAAACTGTTGTGCTGGATTTGATTGGATTTATTTATTGCCAAATATGATTGGAGTATCATTTTCTACCTGTGGTTACTTTACATTAGTCTTCAACCAGTTTCAATAGAACTGGTCAATTGAATTTTTTAAGAACCATATTTCCACATACACTTTTCTTCAAGTGAAATCATTGAGGAAAACTATTCAAGTATACATGTAAATACTGAAACATATGCTAATTAAACATCTTGAGATTTAAAAACTTTTCATTCCGCAATTGATGAATAAACATGAGAAAATTGTAAAATAATATGTTCAATTTTTTTTCATATTTGACAATTAATTTTCAATACATAATGGTTTTCAAAAATGCATATATCTACATGTATATGGTTATGGGTTGTGGTACTTTCCAGCGATGTTGTGTCTGCGAGACATTATCAGTATTTTAAGATCTCAAAAAATGTTGATAAATACTATTTTGGGGGAAGGGGTCTGGAAAAATAGTACTCTGTGAAGTACTGTGAAAAGGTTGAACATTTTGAACGGCCCCTTGGTCTGTGCAACCCTGCACCATTCCCTTATCAGCAGAACACACATGTATGCACAATGACACTCTCTTGAAAAGTCCAGGCACCAATGACAGGGCAGCTCTTACAAGCCTCGTGTACATGACATTTATTTACATGTCATTCAAAATGGAGATAACTGACACCAAAATCAACAGGGACTGCCTCTATTGCCAACAACAGGGCATACAAGTGGTGCCTCAGTCAATGTTGACATATCACTTCTATTGAAACTGGTCAATAAAAGAGCCATAAAATGGTGGTGCTGATAAAAGTGAAGAGCTTAAATATTGTTTGGCCTTGGCAATGCTCTGAGAGCAAGTGCTTTAAATAGCACCTAAATCAGTTGCAAATGCGACCAAATTTTTGCCAGTGCGATCATATTTTCACCATACAGTCGCCATTTGCAACTTAAGAAAGCTCAAAAACTACATACAAAATGTTCTTGCATAATTTTGAGTGTCCTTGTTGTCACCAAGGGGTTTCAGCCACAGACGTTGATGTCCGTGGTTTCAGCTTGTCAAGGGAGATCAGGAAACCTACTAACATTGACCATGATCATGATACGCATACAGCACATGTACGGTGTACATGTGTGTACGTACATTCATGAATATTCAGCGCATGTGGCGATTAGTCGTGCAGTTCTGTCAAATGTGTGCATAATTAGGTTACCAAGCTGAACTCGTCATGTTTGTTCTTTCATGTACTATTTGTACATAAGTTAACTGTAAACTAAGATCAAAGTTATTGCTGCCTTTTGTGCTGGCGACGATATTTCTTTCCCTTTAGAGGTCAAATGATTACTAACAGACTAAAGTTCATAAAAGTGCTGGAACCTAGATTTTTCCCCATTAGGTGCCAATGGCTACCAAATCTTTTTTTTTTCTGTTTAAAAGGTTGCTGAGAGCCTCCTCCCCAAGATATTAGGCACACAAGTGAGAGATTTCAGTAATTCTACATGACAGTTGAATAGTAATACTGTTTTGCACTTTACGGTTCAATGAAGCAAAGCATACATCACAATTATTCTAAGAAGGATCTGTGAATGAGCACATTTTGCAAGGAACGGTTAATTTCTTACGTTGCCCTGAATGCAAACAACAAAAAAAGTAACACTAACTGAACTAAAATGGAAAACATTTAACACAAACAACTGACCTGACACAATGTACAAAAGCCATCTAATTTCAACATAAAACACAAATATTTGTGACCTGCTCTGTGAAAAGGGTATTACGAGACACTGTGCTATTTTGCGCTAAGGGCTTTGCTATGCAGAGAGGGTAATTTTTTACTTGTTGGTTTATTGGCTTCTATTAATTAAATTAATTCTTTCACAATACATATGAGAGACCTAACTGTTGCTATGGGTATTCAAGAGACTTTTTTCTTAGCTGATTTCTTTTTTCACTTCCTGTGTTTTAAGGGCTTTATCCCTGAAAGCACTTCTGTTAATGTTTCTGATACGATTATGCAAAAATCAATATATCCCCAGATTAGTAAATACCGCAGGGTTCAAACGTACACCAAATTAAAGCTTATAATGTAACCAATTTAAATGTGTATGTAACTCATTTTGAAAAAAGTCCCATATTACCCATTTTTGTCAAGCCGGTCACATTTGGTTCTTTCTGTTCTCGAGGGGAAAGCCTCAAGCCTTGACAAAACCAAAAGTAATTCAACACATCTTATCAGAAGGAAGGCAATGAAAATATAAATGGAGAACTTACTGTTTCAGGGAAAATGATTTTGTTGGTGGCACATGGTGCCTTCCCTGTGTTCCAGTTGTTGGGGTTATCAAAGTTCACATCTCGTTGCCACTGTTTTGATGAACCATAGCAGATGCCTAGATATAGAAATAGGAAATGTTGAATAAACAAATCACTTAGAGAAATCGAGCTGTACATCAATGAAACAAATATACATTGTAAAATTCTAGGGAATTCAATGAAATATGCAAATTCTCTTTCTTAATTTGGAGAGTCCGTCGAATCATTGGTAATACATCAACAAGCCAAGGATGCATGTTGTGTCTCCATGCGCGGTTTCCTATGGCATTGATGTGGGACTATATCCATCAAGTCCCCATAGAAAAACATCTATTGCATCCTACAACATGAAACAGCAATTGCCCTATTGGCAGGAGCATGGTCTGATAACCTGGGTGCACTGGCACAAGCATGTCGAGGTCACCGAGGGTGGCGGAAAGGTTTCCTTACACTTTTATATGATTTGCAGGTGTTTTTTTACAGTAGTCTGTGAACAAATACAAGTTCTGAGAAAGTGCCCAATGAGTACAGAATTTTTCCCAATGACTGCATTTCAAAGTGATTTAACCCTGTCGTCTATGGCTGAAGTTTTGAATCTTGGAATGTTTGAGGTAGGATCCATCATGTTCATAGGGGCAAAACGTTCACAGAGATTTGCAAATCTTTTCCCTGTGATTTGGTATAAGTAGAGCTAGAGGTGTGTCCAAGGATACAGCAAGGGGATTCTCCGGGCCACGTCCGTGGGGCTAGACAGTTCTGGAATAATTAATGGGCAATGGGTAATGACTGACAATGTTTTAAGTATTTTCTAAGTTTTCAAGTCATACTGCCTGTAAGCACATATACACTTGTCGAATAATAATTTAGGAAGACAAGTGGTGGCAGGATAGGCTTACCGTCACGACATGCAACCATTTTAATTTGATTTTGAGTTTGTCATGGTCCTAACTATGAAAACAGAATTCTTTCCTCAATGGATATTGTACACAGATATCCCTGTATCAAGCAATCGCACAATCCTGGTGAACATAGACTAGACTGGAGCAAGGAACACTAGTCTAGGCCCTCCCCCTACATCATACATGCCCTAGCAATAAAAATTATTGCATGCTTAGCCCAACACCACTGTCCACGCGAACTTGTTCGTGCATGATCAGATGATGTCGTATAGAAATGTGTAGGCCAGCTAACATGAGGGACCTGCCATCTCTGACGCTTTTCGGTCGTTTCTACTTTGCCCTGGCCGCTTTGCCCCTAACCACATCGCCCCATTGCCAATTCGCCCTATTCCGCGCTTCACCCTATCCCATCTCGCCCCATTCCACTTCGCCCTGCCGCCCCCAGGCCCATCACGGCCCGGGTCCCAGTTTTCGGTGAGCACAGATTTCTACATTATACTTACCAAGAAGTGATAAAAACACAACGACTACTTTCATGACGGACTTCTGCTGGGGGGTTACTATCGACGTCTAAAAGAACGAGTTTAAAGGAAAAAACGGGTAAAAAGATTTCACGTAATATTACTAGGCCTTCGCCACTTTCCCGTACCACTTCGTAATGGCACAACAAGCATAAAACTTAAATACGAGCACCAGGCTATATTTTCAATTGTGTGCTCAACAGAAATGGACGTCTAGTACCTGTTGGGAAAAAACTTTGGAGGGGTGATGGACCTTATCACTACATAAACCGGAAATTATTAAACCGCATTACGATTTCCTTGTGGACACATCGAGTAGTTAAAGAATGGCTCTATTTAGGAAACAATTGATTTCAAAAGAAAATGAAATAAAGTTTGAATGGTCTACAGGTTTTTCTCTTCTGAGAGAAGAGAGAGAGAGCTCCAAACAAACTTCAGTGCGCAAAAGACGTTTTAGGATTTGGACCTATTTTATTCGCGGTCGGATGCAAATATTTCAGCGTGTGTCAGTAGTCTATCTGATGACGACATAAGACGAGAGGTAGACGACGCAACCTGGTTGAATTTTTGGCTGTCTTGAAATTACGCACGAGTTGTGACTCCAGGCTGCAGCCAAGTAAATTCGGACAAGGTGGGTATCAGTGTCCATCTCTGTGGCCATGGATGGAGATATCCGGTACGGTACAATCACGACCAGATGTACATAAGATCGTTTCCAAATTACATGTCTGCGGCTTGAAATTTACCGTTCGAGCGAGTCTAATTCGTAACTTCATACCGGTATCAACAATCAAGGTTCTATTGATCATGCAAACCCATCATTCTTTGCAGAGTAGGAAAAAAAGTTTGAACTTTGGCTAAGGATATGGCTTGAGTTCTAAGTAAAGGCGAATCCATAACCAAATTTTTGAGAGCCAATGTTTCTTTCTTTTTATTCTTTTTTTCGGGGGGGTTTGGAATTTTAAAAAATGTCTCTATACTGCCTTTCCAAGGAGTGAGAAATGATGCCCAATTTGAGAGGAGGTGGTCCATATCACCCTCTCCCCATCCGCCTGTGTTTCTAGCAGCCTAGCCTTGTAACGCTTACCTAGTCAGTATCTTATTATGCGACCATTCCATTCGTTGGACGAACTTGGTACAGTAAAAGATTCCAATTGACTGACTTAGGGTCCAGTTCATACTACGTGGGTTTAATAGTTTAATTTTTAAACAACAAACGTTAGCGCCTAAATGTAAATGGAAAAAAAATACATAACAGATTTTTAAGAGGCCATCTTAGCTAGATGCACGTTGTCAATACGGGCGATTCACAATAGTGCGCCACCAAGAGTTTGCAACGCGTTGGCCAATCATAACGCGCGAAAGTTGTCGACCCTTTCCAAACGCGCATTGGATCGACAAATTTCGCACATCGTGATTGGCTAACGCGTTGTAAACTCTTGGTGGCGCACTATTGTGAGACGGCCGTATTGTAGTGTTTCAACGTGAATATTGGCATGAATATGGCTTGCGCATGTAGGCCCTCAAAGCGGTCAAGGTTTCATATATAATTCAGGCCATAGCTATATTTAAATAAAGATCTTAACGTTTTTGTGTGACGTCATAGTGTGATTGAAGATGACGGATGTAATTCTCCACTGCCGGATGTTAAAACCCGAAGGCCGACTTACTCTTTTTACCGTAGTAAAGCAAATATGACGTCCTCAAATTCAACAAAAGCGAAGCTTTCGCATCATGTGTGAACCGGCCTCAGTAATGTTAGTTTCCATTTGCTGTTTTTAAATTCTGTCACACATGAAAAATGTTTAAATTGACATGACACATGTTTCTGCATTTGTTTCTATACATGGCTTTCTGTTTTACTTAGCAGTTCAATGCATAATTCGATTCACAGACTTGTATAAGGAGACATAAAATAACAGCTTGATTAACATTGTAGTAAATCATAGGCCCTTTTAGCATTATGACAAAATTTTTTAGTGAAACAAACTTTTGTTAAGCAACTGCAAATACACATGCATTAGTAATGAATTACGATATTTGTTTTCCTTTCACAAAAAGCTTACTCGGCACTAGAATGTAATTATTCGCAGGCTTGCTCTGTCCTCTAGCCTGCACCTCATCGTGATCAATGGTCTCGGTTTTAAAGAACTGCTGCTTTTTGACCCATTTTGAAACGACCCTGTAATATAACCACGGGGTAACTGCTTGTTTCTGCCTTGTCCAGTTTGCTTCATGGGAAACCCAACAAAAACGGGGACAAAATGGATTTTTATTTCTGAAAAAGACTGTTCCAAAATTCATCCGTATAAAATCCCACCCCCACCCGACCCGACCGCACAAACAAATAAATTTCAGAAAATGAAATACCGTTTCTTTGATCAACGCATAGCTTAAACAAAATGTTCACAATAATTTTAAGGCAGAAACCCCAAGATGTAACATTTAAATCCAAACGTTTAGTTGCTTGAAACACTAGAAATTTCTTGGAATGTAAGAGCAGGAACGCTGCCTAAGGGTAAAAATTCATTCATTACTTACGACCAATGGCGTCATTTGTGCTCGGGAAATATACAAATATGATTTTTTAAATGAAATATATAATGAAGTGAAAGAAAAAGACCAGAGGAATCCCAGGAACCTGGCAAATGATTAAATATTACATTAAATACTAATAACATTTTCCTCAAAAGCCAGAATACATGACACGCATGTATCATGTGTGTTGAGTCCACGCAGTCAAGAAGCTGTCGCCTGCTTGATCCAAATCCCCTGCAGGTCTTTCCAGTCCCTGAAAAGATGATCAGATTTGCATCAGATATCAACAGTGCAGTGCTCAAAACACTTTCTGATCAAGGGCCAACCAGGAGTCAGGCAAAAATGAAAGGAACGTGCCTTTTTACCCAAATAAAATAAGAGCAAAAGTTGATGAACTATTCACGGGAGGCCAGAGTCCAGAAAGGGTGTTCATTATGTCGTTCAGTATTCGCATTTCCGAAAGAATAATAGGCGGGGCTGTAAGAACGATGCTGCGTTTTCAATTGAAAAAGGATAAAAATTGTCAAAGTTGTTATTTTTGAACTTACCACTGTGAGACAGCAATCCAATGACCGTCTTCTTGGACACATGCCAACGTGTAAGTTCCCCGGACGTCAGAAACGTAATCCTCTTCAAAGATCACGGACATTCTCACCTCACTAGATGGCTGGCATCCTCCAAACGTGGCGTCCCACTCTCCAACTGAAATTAAGACGCCCTCAATCAACACATAGCCACCTTGATTTAGCAGGAATGAATAGAAAATTTATTGGAACATGTTAAGGTTTTGTTTTCGTGAAATTCTCATTATCTGCTTGTACAAACAACTTTGTTATTGCATCCAACTGTATGGACCTTTGCTACACAGTGATAGCAAACATGGCGGCTGGCTATGAATACAAAACAGAATCATTTACAAAGAGTGCTAAAAACGCCACAAAACTATTAAAACATCAATAAATACTGTCTTGAACAATGCAGAGCAAATGCGCAATTTGAGGCAAAAGTTGTTACTGATCATTTCTGCAAACCGTCCACACAAAGTGTTATAAGAGATGTTTTGGCATATGGACATCTGGCTGAACGGATGTCTCATGCATATGGATGTATTATACATAACAAGAGAAGCGTGCAGGATAAAAAGCAGGAATGTGTACATGCAGATTGACAGATGCGGGGGGGGGAAAGGCTTACCCCTGTATCTCTGAGTCCAGTCAGAGCCATCCGGAGTTTTGCAATTGGCCAAGTTGGCGATGACGTCAGCCTCTGGGAAGACCGGATTGGTCAACAAGCTCCCTTTGAGAACCCCAAACTCTTGAGCGTCAGTCGAAGCTTGGGTCAGTGCAATCCCGATAGCACTGGAATTTACCCAAAGGCAATGGATCAGCTCGGTCGTCCAGGGTCCGTTGTTTTCGTACGAGGAGCAAGTAGGCGACATAGTGTACAGCCTGGCGAGTAAAATATGTAAGATTTGGGGAAAAAATACTTTCCTTGAGAATTTTAATTATGGCAAAACTAAAAAGACAATCATCAATACAAGGACATCAAATCTTCTAGGTAGACCTATGCTTGCGTGAATATTCCCCAATACTGTAGTTAATTTTGGCTTTCGATACTATTGATTTTCCAGGGGCAATCTCGTCAAGAGTCTCCCAAAAAGTTGTAATCTCGCGCCGTTTCAATCCATCGTCAAATTGAGTTCAACTGACAAGATAACGTACCTCATCCATCCACCACCGTTTGATTCCTGGTCACAATCTAGAAAAAAATGACAATAAATTAGTTCCCGATTTATGGAATTACATGCAAGGAAAAAAGGGGTGGTAAAGCTCGCCAAGTGAGGCTGTATTTCCAAGATTATGTTCATATAACATATTATATACAGATTAATTGGTGTCAGTGATTTTTACGTTCAAACTTACACACATTCACGGGGCCAGTCAATAACGTGTCTCCACACTCCGGTCTGATCTTGTAGAATCCACTTCCGAATGACAAATTAGCGGTAACATACGCTTGGCAGGAAGGCAACGCATCTTGGCCTTGAAAACAAAAGCAAACGGTACGTGTATATAGCCACTTAATGCGTGACATGCATGTCCTGACTGAGCACTCTATAACTTCTTGATTCTTGTTCGAATGATTGAGTTTTGCCCATTTGGTGTTTTCTTGGCACCATACTGCATATGCTCACGGCAGTCCAAAAACTTGTCCAAAAAGTTACAACACTCTCGACTTCAATTTTAACCCACGAATCCTTATATTTTCAGACCGTCCGACCTCGCACAAAGGGAGCTTAACAATGCAACAATAAACTGTAGGCCTATCTCCAGACATCGAAGTCATCATCGAAGTACCACCACTGGTTGGTCCATTCAAGATTCCAGTGCCTTGGATGGTTTATATTTCCACAAGTTATACAACTTATGTTACTTTCTCACCTGTCAGGGCACAGGTTGGGCCAAAGAACTCAGACGAACAACGGCAAGTAAAATCAAGCCCTGACGTCGACGGGGTACAGGTGCCATTGTTAAGGCACGGAATGGACAAACACGGGTCTGCATTTGAACGACATGGAATATACGTACCTTTTAATATAAAAACACAAACATTTCACTGTTGCACAAAATGTTCTGTTTCTTAAATTTGTCAAACGTTCAGGCAAATTTCTCAGTTATCAAAATGTTGCTGTCTCTTCAAATAGGTATGCAACTTTCCACTTCTTTCTCAACTGTACTTGCTATAAAAATGCATACGACCAGGGTGCAAAACTATACTTACCGGAGATGTGACATTCACCACCAAAATACTTGGGCAAACAGCTGCATATGTAGGATTTAGGGTCAGTAGAAGTACACGTGCCACCGTTCAGGCAGGGCTGTGACGACAGACAGAAACCTGCCGCACATTTTAAGCAGAAAACACTGGCCTTTGACACTTGTAACTGGGCTTTCTTGTTAGAAGTGTATTCGCGAGATAGTTTCGTCCTTGGAAATTACAGTGTTCTTCCCGCGAGGACATTATAGCAGGCCTTAAGTCGATTTTGGAATACTTTCTAACACATCCAGTAACCATTTTCAACACCTGTTCCCACCGTCCCTGTTTTATTTCTATCAGCAAACGTATGAATTTGTAATATCTCCAGCCCCCGTGCATTTTAATAAACTGACACCTCTTGGTTACGCTACCACAGAACTTTAAATAAGTTTGCTTTGTCTTAGTATAATGTCTCTCCGTGCGGGGAGGGGGAGCCATCGTCAATGTTGGACACCAGTATCACCATGGGTAAAGTATGCACTCTTGGTGCGATTGTTACTTCATTTTACGGTGAACTTGAATTTGCTGATAACAATTAAAATATTCATTCATAAATTCAGTGAGACTTAGTACAGCTTGCACCAGTTAAACTATTTGATCTCTATTCCTTCAAATGCTTTACCCATTGATCTCATGTCCTTATTGGATATTCTAGATATAGAGTAGGTCATACACCACATGCAACAGTCATGCTAGGGGAAAAAACGTATCTGTGAGAATTACATTTCGAGAAATAACGGTTGAGCAGTCCAGACTACTTACGACTTAAGTCAATTGCAACTCTAATACACTGCAGCATGTTCCGTATCTGCTGATATGAGTGGGAACCCTATCAACTAGGTTATAATTTGTGCTTTTAACCTTTGGCTACTTCATTTCAAAGAAATCGTACGGTATCTACTTTACAGTGAAAAAGACGAAGGTGTTATTTACCATCATCGCCGCATTGGATACCAAAGAACTCAGGTTGACAACTGCAACTGTATCGGGCACCTGATTTCGTCTGAGAAGAACTACAAGTGCCATTATTCTGACATGGATTTGACAAACAGGGGTCTGCAAATATGGAAAAACACCTAAAAGTATTTGAATTTTGTAAATTTGAGACAGGAAATTCACTTCTCAAGACAATTAAGAACTTATCCACCTATCAGCGCCTGCCTATGGACACTTTCCATTTCACGGGTTCATAAAACGTCTTTATATAAAAAGATTAAAGAATATTTTTAGCTCTTACCAAATCTCATTTAATCTTGTCTCTACATTTTGTGTAGGAGTTGTTTCCTTGGAATTCTGTAACATTTAACTTGTTGCGCTGTGGTAAGGAATACTTACGGCACTTAAGGTTTTCGTTATTTATCAGCCTGAAAGTTTCCTGATTTTTTTGTATATGCTTTATACGAACGGTTTGCCCTTATTAAATACTAAACAGCCTACTGGTATATAATGTCTTGAGCTGAGATTTAAATCATTTCAAAAAGGCCCATCTCCATGCAATAAGGTTTATTCCGTCTTCGGGTATTACATATGAAATGCCTGTTAAATTTTTCTGTTGTCCATGGATTTAAGAACTGTTTAATTGTTTCCTATCTTAAAGAGACAAGATGCTAGTCCATGATAAAGTTTCTTGCTGACTCAATTGCTTGTAATTTTGTGCCATCTAAGCGGGTGGATTTCTTCCTAAACCGTGATGATTATATGAAAAAGCTATGTTTTTGCTTCATTCAGATCATGGTTCACATTTAAGTTGCTTACCGGGAACATTGCAGTTGATGCCATAGAACCCAGGGAAACATTTACATTTGTACTTCACTTCCGATCCAACAGCAGAAGTTTGGCAGTCTCCATGGTTACCACATGGGTTGGACAAACAAGGGTCTGGTTTAAAAGAAGTGCACTTCAGACAATAATTCGTAACTACATCATAGTTTGTTTAGAAAGAGCATTTGTCAGATCTCAAGTCGAGGTAAAACTCAATCCGCCTGATTGCTGCGTGTATGTCTTGAAATCTAAGATCAAGTTTGTTCATATTAATATGGGACAAGTTATTGGAGGCCCAAGTCTGTAGTTACGAAAATGCATACCCAGCACTCTTTGTGACCAATGGTACCTTTGCTTGCGTAGTGTCATAGTCTGGACACATTTCAGCCATAGTAAACCTCTCTTATTATCTGACTATTTCACGGGGTTCAAGGAGCAATCACCATGCATAATGAAAGTCAGCTTCAGCCGTCCACGTATCTTGCGTTGAAGTCCGTGTAAGTACATTTCAAGCCGCTTCCCTCTCTCTCCTTTCCAGAAAAGAAGTTCTTTTACAGTTTTGTCTCTCAAACGTGATCGTAGCTTATACCTTCTGTACATTATCCTATCTTTCATTGATATCTATCATGACCATTTTTCGCATCTATTATGGCACAGAACAGTCCAAAAAATTCGTTAGTAACTTGCTTTTTATGATGAGCTGTCCCTCCCCAATTTTTGTAAGCACGCTCGCAGTCCAGAAACAATGGTCCGCTTTGCTAAAACGTTCTTCTTCAGCACAACAGGGTGACAACATTTTCACGGTTAGTCTATCAGCTTATGCAACGCATCTTTTAACCGAATACCTTCCTCTCTCCTTTAACTTTTAACGATTATAATGTACGCTTTGCTAACCTATTATGGCACACACGGGTCCGAAAAAATCTGGCAGGCAATGACACTCGTAAGTTACACCTGTTTCAGTCGACAAAGATAAGCAAGGGCTGTCATTTCGACATGGCTGTGAGAGGCACGGGTCTGCAAGTTAGATAGTTTAGAAGATACATTAAAAAGCAAACCTAAGCAACTTCGGATACTGTCTTATAGGTCTTAGACGTCTCGTGGATGCAGCTGATGGGCCATGTAGCAAAAGGAATAGTTGATCAGGAGACTAGTTTTTGTTGACACATGGGAGGAAACAACTCCTTTGCTTCACACGTATACTTTTCTTTAGCAGTTGTAACGTCAAGTTATCCACTGATATGTATTTTCGTCTAGATCTTAATCTCATATGAAACAGGTGTCCCAGAACATGTTCGCAAGAACTAACGAGCAAGTTGACTGAGCAGAAGTGCAGAAGGGAAATAGGGGAAAACACGTGACCATGGGCCTAAGATGGTCGTGAGACTGCAGGCGTTTCAAAAGACCCGTCGATGATTTTGCTCATAGAGTCTGTATATTCTGTCATCGTTGAAGATTGTCGTTATTCCTATTTTGAGAAAAACAGAGACTCAGCTGAATTGAAGGCTTACCACTTAAATCGCAGACGGGACCAAAGTGACCAGGGGTACAAGTGCATGTGAAGCTCACGTCCCCCGATGACATTGAGTAGGACGCACACTCACCACGGTCATGGCACGGAGTTGACAGACAGGGATCTAAGACAAGAAAAAAGAAAACTTTTCGGTTACTATTTCCCGAAGTTCCAGGTTTCAGCGCTAGGCTGGGCTGGCGGCAGGCCTGAGTGGGCTTAAGGAAAGGAAATGGAACAGAGAGATCGAAGCCAGGCTTACCAGGAATGTTACAGGAACGACCAAAATGCCCTTCCACACAGCTGCATGCGAATTCTACCCCTGCATCGGTTGGGACTGTCGTGCACGTGCCGTTGTTCTGACATGGTTGGGACAGACAAGGGTCTGAAGTCGAGGGGAGTCGATCAAGAACATAAAAACAGATTCTGAGCCAAAATCATTTTATTCATTAGAAAATTGACACAATTTCCCAAACCGCCATCACTTACGACGCCATTCGCCTAATGAAGATGTACCTAGGCCTAAGCTTTACCTAGACACCCGTTTCAGTTGCTGAGAATATCTCCCGCATAATGTACACAGACCAACCAGCAGTGTGCATAAGCCATTCACGACAGCTGATCAGACTGATTTATTTTATTACATTACCGGGTAGGTCACAGTTGACGCCGAAGTTATCGCCTGTACATCGGCACGTGTAGATCGCAACCCCTGAGTCATCAGTCGACGAGCAATTGCCGTCATTGTCACACGGTGCCGATAAACAAGGGTCTGTGATCAGCAATACACGAATGATGCCAATATCGTGACTTCATGAAAATACGCGTTTTGTCTTGAAACTAATTTACGCGCAGCAGAACTGTTTTGTTTCCAGTTCGGTATACTGAGGCAATACGCAGAAACGTATGGGCGTGGAAGGGAGCTTGTGGACTGTGGAAAGGATGAAAGTACATCTAGAAAGCCTTTTTGAAAAAAAGAAATCCATCCGACTCTCATACCAAGACCCAATTAAGGTCTAAATATACCATCGCAGCCAAGGTTTCCTATTCTAATGACAGAGGAGATATTATTTATCAAAAAATTAAAAAAAAATTATAAGGTGGACCCTGACTCATGCTGGATATGGACGTTAAACGTACATGAGAAGCCGATTTCCCGGTTGGATGGTCTTAGGGAATGGTGTTACATTCCAATCTGTTTGCCAGCCATTGCAAGAACGAAACACAAATTAAAACTGAATTTTGTGTAGAATTATATTAGCGCCTTTGAATGACAGATAAATAATGTCAGATACTGCGCAACCTACTGCGCAATCTTTATTACAATTATGAAACGGGCTTTTTATGTGAAAGATCCACTGGCAATTTGATTTTTTACAACCAGAGTGTATATTATAGTTACCGCTCATGTCGCAATTGTATCCCATGATATTCGCTGGGCAAATGCATCTGTAGTACTGGGGAAACAATCCATCGTCTGCTCCTGTGCTAGCAATGCAAGAGCCATTGTTCTTGCAGGGAAGTGATAAACAAGGATCTAAAAAAGAAAGAAAACATGAAAGCCTATAAGAAAGAAATCCCGGGAGACTATATTTTAAAGCTCAGAAGCTGTCGATATTGTGCACGAATCATGTCATTGGAAGAAGTGGATGAGGGAACTTCAAAACATTGGGTCTTTACCCAAGTTATCTGCGGTGTTATGATAACAAATATTTCAAAAATTAGAAATTATATGCATAATCTGCAACATCGGAACTACTCACCTATTTTCCAAACTACCAGGTTGGATGATTTCACATCGGCTCATTGCATGTAATAGAATTTTCTATTTGATATTCTTTTATTTGCCGGAATTAGGTAAGCCCCATGAACCTCTTTCCCACATCCGTTTTGTTGTCGAATTGGTAAGAGAGGTTGTTCAGGTTTGATATACGGGATAAAGCTCACGGGAAGGTGTCAATTGAAATCAATCTAAAGCATAATTATGTTATCACGTACCGCTCACTCTGCAGTCTTTTCCATAGAACTTGGGTGGACAAGTACAAGTGTAGGTGACCCTTGACTCGGTAGAAGCAGGCGCACATGTGCCGTTGTTCTGGCACGGATCTGACAGACAAGGGTCTGTGAATGGAGCAAAAGCAATTCTGATTAGGGAACCAAAATCGCTGAATAACAATTTGGCCCTCGAATGCCTGTTCAGGTTCTCTGCAAATCACGTTTACTTAGACAAAAATTCCCTGTCGTTGCTCCGGTTGGTGCAAATTCATGCAGGAACTAACAACCATCATAAATTGTGAAAATCACATCTTGTTTCGAACGATAACGAACTTCGAAAGACACAGGCAAAGTATACAGCTGGAGCGAATGAAAGTTTCGGCTTTTTGATTGAAATGCAACGTCAGCGCTTTGTCGCTGCCATAGCAACGACATGAGCCTCTCCGTTCATAAATGAAGCCTCATTTTTGCTCCTAAAAATAAAGTAAATCTGCCAATGGAATAATAACGCTTGGATGCTTGCTCTGTTAATCATCACTGTTTTTGAATATACACTTCAAGATTTAAACCACATCCAATAAAATTGGCAAACAAATAAGAGACCAAAACAGATTAGATATCATGTTTCCCTTTGTTAATTTGTCCTTCAAGAACGAGATCCCAAAATGGTTCACTTCGGATGATGGAGTACTTACTCTCCTCTTGGCAGAGCCTGCCGTAATAATCATGTGAACATCGACAGGAGTACTTGGTGCCTTGCGGTTCACATGTGCCTCCATGTTGACATGGTGTAAAGAAACATGGGTCTTTCAAATAAAGATTATTGGAACTGAATTAGCAATTGATTTCCTCAAATGATTCTGCGTTCAAAATTTTGATTTTCTTCCTTTTGTTTTCTAGCTGAAGCTCTCGGTTTGCAACTTTCCCTTAGAGAGTGTAGCCGAATTCCTTGAATATGATTATTCTAAACGATTTAGGGCCGTTCGCAACATTTTTGGATGTCCATCCGCTGGAGTGTATAATCAGCCACTTTCCTGTCGCTGTTGCTAAAATGTATCAAGTTTACAGCGTGCGTCCTTTGTGCACAATTCAGTGATGTAGGAAATTAATTTCAGCATAACATTAATGCTCATTTTATCTCATACAACATGCGCTCAGTGGAGTTGCATATTGCAAGTAACATGCGGTGTGCGATTTTTAACACATACTTGGCTACATCAGCAAATGGCATAATAACGCACGTCTCACGGAGCAGTCAGCTAGCGGCTTCGTACTTCCATAAATTCACGTGTCATTTCTGACCGTAGCCAATCAATTCAGACACGACTTTATCTTAGAAATGCCAACAATCCAAAGCTCTTGGCCATATCATTTATACTTCCATTGCCCTTGTGTACGGATCCCTTACTTGCTACGTCACATTTGCATTTCTGCGTATGGCCGTCAGTGCAAAGCAAAAAAAAAAATTCACAAATTGTTTGAAAAATATTCTCGCAGCTATCAAAATACCAAATAAAAAACATTTAAACAATAATCGATAAAATGAGACAGGTCCAACGAGTGGTTCATGTTATTATTTTTTCCACTCAGTATTTCATCCTTGCCATTGCTTATACATGTATAAGCGGTAACAGATATTGCATGATGCACATCTTTGTCTCACCATGTGACAGAAAAGAAAAAATAAATCCTATATGTGGTATATTTCTTCAACTATAAACCCCCCCAAAAAAGAAGGAACGTTCTCAAATGTTTTTAAAGGGAGGACCAAACAATTTATTGGAGAACACTTTGGTCGACCAATAATAGACCATTACTCACGTTTGTCTTGGCAGATAGGGCCTTGGTATTCTGGAGGACAATGACAGCTGTAGCTTACTCCAACAGCCTCACATGTACCTCCATGCTGACAAGGTGTAGACGAACATGGGTCTAGAAAAAATATAATCCGGAAATGAAATTCTGTTAAAATTATTATTTCTTGGGGGGGATGCAGATATTAAAGCAGCATAATTTCTTGTGTAGGATTTCTGTAAGTAATCTCATAAAAGTCTACGCGGCAAACATAGAATGGTTTCAAGTTTTCGCCGAATAGTTTCCTTTCGTTCAACTGTACTCAAGCATCATTGGTGCTCTCGGATTGAAATCCAGGATTGCAAGTTCTGAAAACATTCACCATTTTAAAGCCAACCCAGCCATAGCTGACTCAATTCAAAATGGAATCCCATCCGAAAAAGAGTACCTGTGGATTGATTTCGTGCGGCAACCGGAAAGCAATAAATACACAATTTATCGCACAAATAAAATGCAGTTTATATAACTATCACTACTTGGCCTAAATACGCTCCTTCGGAAAGAAAACGACCCCCCAACCATACTAATGACAGCACGTCATCCACCTATTGAACTATGAAAGAATTTAGACGTGAAGATAGGTGTCTATAGGGAGCGACATTTTGGGCTCCTTCAAATGCAGGATGAAAAGCAACGTCAATGGGTGCGTTCGACTAGCGTACACGTACGTGTAAGTCAAACTTCGTTTAGCCATCACGTGATATTCGCGCCTGCCCTGGTGTCAGCCACCACTACCCCAGCTGGCGAGCGGGTCTCTGGAGGCTGCCCGAGTGTAATGACGTTACGGATGGACTGTTCGAGCATAGATGGGTGCAGTGTCTCAATTCAAGGAAAATTCTCCGCCAGACGGAGGCGCACAAAAAGTACCCTCAGAGATTGTTTCAAAAAGAGGGGTCTGTTTGGGCCAAGAAATGGTGGGATTGTGTCAATATGGCCCAGGATCATCTCTGTAGATTCAGGGGCACCCATCTGGGGGCAAAGCAGACAAAATTGAGATTGAAAATTAGCCAGAAGAGCCCTGGGAAGGTGAGGGATGTCATTTGAAAAATGGCTGCTGGGAGGGCTTGGCAACATTCACTTTTTAGGGGGTGAGTTTGTTTGGGGTGGATAACTAAAAAATTCATTGGTTAACCTACTAAAAATTGAAAATCAAATGAAACCTGAAGGACCAAACAGCACATTGTTTNGATATGATGGAACTGGCGGAGACTTGACCCTTTTTGCTGAATGCTTTGGCGAATACACTGCAGCGTTCGATCAGCCTCGTTTCGAGGCTTCCTATGGTATAAACCACTGGTGTTTTCAGGGAAGCTACTCGAACGCACCCATTGAAATGGCCGAGGGGTTAAGCTCGCAGTTATCAGATAATGAGACAGAGCGTTCGAATCCACGCGGTGACTTTTTGTTTTCCCAACGCTTGCTGTCAGTCTGTAGCTATAAAAGACTTAAAATCACCTTCGCCGACTTGGCGGCCGGGGCTTGTCTCATTCCTCCCTTGCATAGCCGCTCGACCCTTTGGGGGTTAAATGGATGGGCAGGGAGGAAGTGTGGTGGGCCGTGAACCCCGAGACCCTAGAAGAGTCCCAGGCAATTATTAATTTGAATACAGTGAATTAAAGGAGGACACGAATACTATATACGTAGAATTCGTTTATAATTTTATCCATTTTTAACATCAATTTCTCTGAATGTATCACAAGAGTCACAGCAGGGGCGTATTTAGTGCAACTTCTGTAGTTACTGGTGTGTCAGTCAGTAGTTACTGGTGTGTTTTAGTAGCCTAACAACTGTATGCCTTAACGGAGTAGTCTCGCCCGAGCACAGAAAATTAGGCTTCGCTATTTTTCCATAATACCTACGGTAAATCAGGAAGTAGTTGATTCCAACATGCTGAACATTTCAGAGTGGAAATCTACGAAAACTCATGTCTAGCTTGACGTTTTCGTTGAAAAAGTGCAAACATATTTTCCTCATAATAAAGACGACTTCTGTTGTTCCTACGACAAAATAAAACTTGAAACATGAGATGGTTATGTGCAACAATTCTTGGCTACAACGCGGCATTTCTAAGCTTGCTTGAAACTGCCGGAGAGTTTTAAAAAAGAACAACAAGACATCAAATGCATTCAAGGCACTTGAAGCCAACGGAACAACGTAACAATTGCGATTTACGTTCCATATATTAACGCATCATTCTAGCCCGTAACCTTGATGGGCATTGACGTTGCTCCGTGGCTTGACGAGATGGAATGGATCCAACCTCGCCACAACCTTTTCCCAGTGCTATAGTGTACTTCATGAAATATTTAATATCGACATATATTGGAATATTTTTTAAAAGTCAATGTGCTATATGTTTTAATATAACTTAATTTAGTTGTATTTTTGCTTTGATTATTTGAATATTGTTAGATGACCCATTGAAAATCATCTGTTTTTAGATGACATGGCTACCATCTGTAAATAAATTATATTACTCTTATTATTATTATTATGAATCTCGACCGTCCATGTTGTGACTAACCATATGCTTTAGACCTTGGAAATAAATCGCTTCCTTTCCGTAACCATGGAGCTTTAGTTTTCTGCATGCAGCTGAGTGCTTTGACGCCCCCCCCCCAAAAAAAAGAAAAGAAAGTAAAATCCCGGCGCCGACCATGGCTATGACTTAAACATTTCGACGTGTGTATGAAAAAAGGACTTAGGCGCTTATGCCCTTTTTCTGGGAAGCATGACCACAGCCAAAACACTTCACCCGGCAAAAGGACAGATGTATGCGACTGTTTTATTTTAATGAAATACAAAGATTTCTTTGCAAAAATAAAAAAAAAACCTAAGTCGTTTAATAAGTTGTTCAAAGGCTGCTTTTTGTACAGCCTGTGTTGATTTTGTAGTATTTTTTCTTTTTACTAAATAAAGAGAGTGTGTTTCTTAAGCCCTTTTGGCAGGAATATTTTCTGCTGTGATCATGCTTCCAGGCAAAAGGACGCCCTTTGCCAGGCACACGATTTTACTCTGCCTTTTCATAAAGTCATGCTGCACGGGCATGCAGTTGAACGTCGTCACCTTGACGGTTTTCACGTCTTAAGCACACTGCGTAATGAGGTAACTTGTTGCCAAGGAATCTTCGGAGGCAAACTAGCCTACCGATGTGGAAACATACAGGCGAGGATCGATGCTTGATTTATTAAGACACCTTTCACAGTTGCCGTTTTCCAAATGCATTGGCTTTTCTGTGGTTTCATTGGTTGTCATTGCTGTACATACTCTGGAAAAAAGTCTTTGTTCTCGACATCTTGGGTATCTATGAGCTACAACGCGCAACGCACTGAAAACACACAAAAACAGTGTCGCACCAAGGCCCTTTAGCGCCATCGTGTGTGTTTTCCAACAGTGAGGTGTATTTTTCCACAGCTCAATTTATTTAGAATTTTTCCAAAAATCTTTTGTATAAGATGTATTTTTTCAAAGTTCGTTTGTACGAGATATATTCTCCAGATCGTTCTGATGAGATCTATTTCAGAGGCATTGTTTTTATTATTGTAAACAAAACGTTTTGAATCAAATATATTAATAATAAGGTTGTTTTTGTGAGATATGTTGTTTCTTAGTTATTGTTCAAAGATATACAATTTAAGCTCGATGTCATATTGCATAAAACGACTTGAAAACGAATATAATGTAACTTATAAAACGTACTCCCAAAACATATGTTATAAAACAACTTTGAGAAATACACCTCCCAAAAGCAATTTCTTTCCTAAAATAAAAACGATGCTCCTAAAAGTAGACCTCTTAATTGTGCATTAATTCTATTATGAAAGCACGCCTAAAGACACTCTCTCTTAAAAACGAACTAAAAATAATTGTCTTGTAAAATCAAACCAGAATGGTTTTCTGATATACATTTCTGATACACAGTTCGAGTTTTTATGAGACATGTTTTGTCAAAGTGCATTTATATAAAACGAATTTTAAAATATATTTCGTAAAAACGAAGTTGAGATAATATAATATCGTTACCGGACTCTGAAAAATATGCTTTACTTTTTGAAAAATGTAGGGGCCTATGCTTAATGTCACAAATGGGCTTCCGTAGTATCGTAGTGTATAGGATGACATTTCTGAGGGACATTTGGGGGTACAATTTTTTCAGGGGCCCTGGGGCACCGAAGCAAACTTGTACATACATTTTGTATATGAAAATTTCCAGTGATACCCGGCAGGGGACACAGATGTCTGCCCATACACTCTCCCCATAGTTACGCCACTGTTATGAAATGTCTTTAAAACGTCGAACTAATAGGCAGCATAAGGCGGCCTTCTAGCCTTGATGAGCTAGCACCAGAGAACAATGAGCTAGCACCAGAGAACAATGAAATTAAGATTGCAATTTGGTAAACAGATCATTCGCGCGCACAGAATGAACCCCAAAACGCCCATGCACACTTGGGCCGGATCCGGACAGGGGCCCATAATCTGCGCATTGCGCCATCATGCACGTGTGGGCACCAGACGAAGGGGGTGCTGGGGGGGTTCTTCTTTTCCGTCAGTGGCCGAGGGAAGGCTACAGTTCACGATTTGCAACGAGGCATGTAACAAAAATAATAACCAGATGAAATCAATATCTGAATTTGTAAGCTTGTAATATGATTTGGCTGGGTAGGCCTAAAATTAGTATCATAATTATGAATATCGTGAATATGGTCAAAGTCATGGCAAATTGTATCTTAACTTAAAACCACGCTTTTTGAGAACCCCTTTCCAAACACCATAGAATTCATTTTATTTATTTATTTTCTGTTTCATTTAATCAGGGTAGCCTCGTCAGTAATCCTTATTGCTATTAATGAGAGCCCTGAACATAAAGAACAAATTATTATGTAAGACTACACTATTAATAGAGAAACCAAAATTAAAACTTTACCAAAGTTACTAAAAAAAAGGAAAGATGAGAAATAAACAAATGCTACTTTATAAAACGAGAAAACGTGAAGAAATGGAAAAATCGAAAATAGTAATTACAAAGTTAATGATATAGATAAACATTAAGACTAAAACTGAATAAAACTATTTGAGAAGGCAGCACAATAAAATAAAACAGATTAAAGAAACCCCGAGCAATCTGCTCCATCAGCCAATCTCGGTGCATTTATTGGTCGGCTCTGTTTGAAAACTCTGACTTTACTTCCTGTTTTCAAACTAATCTTCCTTCAAGTTCAACCAAGCTAGAAAAGGTTGAAATGGCTAAATAGACAAAACGTAAGGATCAAATGTTCAGGTCACAGGATCTACCAATCGCACCAAACATTGATTGAAAAAATCTGCACTAGGCGAAGGATTTCAAGGAGGATTCGCAAAACTCACCAGGACATTTCAGCCATTCCCGAATTGCTACTCGGGCGAAGCTTTTCGGCGAAGAGCCACTGGCGGTCATCACAGATGGCCTTTTGACGGGGTGTGTGTTTAGCCCGCCTAACACGAAACGGGTGCATTGACAGCTCGTATCCGCGTCGATAACCCATAGGTAACTGGTGCCAGAGGATGAGTCTGGTTCCTGGCCAAGGTTGCAGGTCATCGCTGAAACAACATATCCGGTGAAAGTGCAACCGTGTCAATTTTATGGTTAACTGTTTTAAGCAACTGCAGGTAATAATGACGCAGAACTTTTACCTTACCCCTGCAAAAAAAGGCGTTTAAAAAAGTCAAGGACAAGTTTTGAACGATGTCATTCCCTTCATCCCCAATCGAGCAAAAGTCACCAAATTTAGTTCCACCCTTGTAAACTGACAAAGGTTTGCGTACTGACCTCTCCGTGTTTTTGGCCTCCCAGAAATATTGCCAACCTACAAAAACTTTATTTTAATTCCACCTCTTCACATCTTGCGTATTCTTCTTAAGAGATAAACGATTTTATCGCCTTCTTAGTATGTAGGCCGAAAGGCATCACGTCAACTATAAACTGAAGGAAAAACTTTCGGGATTTAAAACATTACATCACACTTCTCGTTTTAAAGAGAAATGCGAGGTAATTCCTGCACTGTTCCATTTTCTGTTTTTAGTTTAAAAAAAATTTAACAAATGATATGATCAACTCTGAAAAAAATGTTATTTCAAAGACAAAAAACGCAGTTACCTTTGGTTGCAGTGATGCATACAATTAGTGAAACAAGCGATTCAATTCCTCTGATTGTAACCATCTTGGAATGCTTACTCCAGCTGTAGCAATCTACAATTTACAAGGTAGTTGGTGCAGGAGCGTTTGCACACATTCCTTTCGAGTCCAACCGTATCTTGTGCGCGTGCGCCAAATTTGCAAGCACTTACATGGAGTCAAAGACACATAAACGAAACTCAACGTCATGCCTTGGTTTATGGAGCTCGTCCGTGAGTCAAAGAAAACGAATAATAAATTTGTCCAATCCAATGCAAACTTTCCAAAATAGATTTATTGGAAATATATATCATTGTGTATATATCATTAAATATCAAATATCCAAACCTAGTACAGAAAAAGGGAACATTTTGCCTCAAGTGCCATTATGATGTCAACAGATTGTATCGCATTGAGAACAACTTTTCAAGATGCATATGGAATAGATGTTTCGTGCATCGATGAGAATTCAACAATGTGTGTGCTCACGGTGCAGTCTCTATTGACATTTGTAAGGCCTGAAGTAGTTTGTCTTAATTTCTCATTCTTAATTGAAGATATTTTGACCACAATAAGATCATTTTGAGTGCAAAACACCTTGTAAAGAATATGAATTTGGGGCGTGTGACTTTAGAAAAATAGAATATGTGATGTAATACTTAAACCTGTACCTGCAATGTTTCAAAAAATTATTTAATGCAAATGACCTTCATACATCTTTTCCACTTTATTCATCAGCTTCAGTTTTTAGAGCATTTTTTGGGGGGGTACATGTATTAACTTACAAGGAATTTCAGCGTCACAGACAGAGGGATGATTAATCGTCCATCCCCTGAATTAATCATATTCTTTCAAAAGAAAAAAACAGGGCTGCAGCGCGCTGACGCAGAAATAAACCGTGATCAAGGGTGGCCCGATGAAGAGGTAACGGGATTCCTGGCCCTCAAAAGGGGCAATTTCTCTTTTTTGGTTTTTGAGAAAACCAAAACTCAGGGGAGCAAGTTTATTTCCTTTACATCGAAAAATGCGTGTGAAAAGCCTTTGAATTTCACCTGACCTCTCAGGCCATAAAGGTTTCCACAAATTTATTTTTTTATTTTACCCATTTGACAAAATATGGCCCCCCTGAAAAATTGGCTCCGGGTCCACACTTGACTGCATGAGCTAGGGTGGGTAGAGGACTGATTCGTAGCTTGCTTGTAAAGTTTTTAAGATGAAACCCCAGGTTATGTGGCCTAAATACAGGGGTTCAATAAACCTTTTTGAAATTCTCCTTGCATGGGTTTGGATTGCAAACAAGCGATGGACTTTATTCGTAACCTTATGGGGACTTCCATTAAAACAATATTTAATTCTTTTTTTCAGAATTTTTCCTTACGTATCTGCACATGAAGCCCCATATGGATGCAAGATGCAAGAAACTTTTCAAAATACTTTTGTACAGCTTGTAAGAAGCAAGAATTGTCCTCAAAATATACCATTTAAAAAGACACTTGTCGCGAGGCTGAAATGTGAAGTAAGTGGTCAGTACGGAATAAAATAGCTTCAAATCCTGATTCGGATAAGCCAATACTAACTTGTTGACATTCACAATCATCTCGAAGACAGATTTTGGTATTCATGGAAATTATTTCCTGAGTTTTCCTTTTCTGGTAAGCATCTAAATTTGACATTTTGGGGGAGAAATATGTTATTTCAGATAATTATATAATTCAACATCACGTGAAAATTTGATATCCAGCATTAACAGTAACACTTCCTCCATGGGCTTTTGTTGTCCCTGATGAAATACGTAACGATACGAAAGGTTTATTCGATTTATAATAATTGATGGACAAATTGTTTACGATCCCCATGGCAACGAAGCCAGCTGAAAATAACAGCATTGCTCTCTGTCACTGAACCTTCATACTGTAGGCTTCGTTGACATGGACACCATGATAAATTCAAGCAGTGGTAATTTTTATCAGACTTGATTTTACTGGCAATTCACTGTTTAAAGAAAAGAAAAGGTTATTCAGTAATCAATTGGTACATTTGCTCTTTCACTTGTGTAAAAACACAAATAATGGCCAAACATGCAGTTAGTAGGAAAACAATGTGTTGACAAATTAAGATCCTTTATCGAATAGATGATGGCAAATTTATATATTATTTTTTGTAATATCTTGGATTGTACGTTTACTTGAAAGTTGTCAAGAATTTGGAAACATTACTGTAAATAATTTTAGTAAATTTGGAAAACGCGTCTTTCGGATGGCTTTTAACCATCGTAATACTGGCTACAACAGATTCATTTTTACATTGTGAATTATGTAGTGATTTCAAACGGAGTGGTTGCGTCACAACATTTCTGAGCCTTGAACAAAAGTAGCCATTGCACAATCTTGAATGACGCTTGATGCAATATTCTGAGCACATAAATTATGATAAATGTGTGGCCTTTGTAGCATTTCGTAGGTGCACAAGTCGAATCAAACAACAAATACAGTGGAATTAGGCCTAAATACATTTGTTGACAAATGTTCAGTTGATTAAATGTAGAATGGTGTCCACTGTTTTAAGCATAATATTGTTCTATATGGAAAATAAATTTTGTCTCGCTACGTTCCACGCAGTTGCTCACTGCATGTATCAGGAATAGCATCTAAAACGGAGATATTTGAAATTTCAGTGAATTTAATTTTGAGAGTGAATACAATTGTGTTGCCGTTGCAAGACTGAAATCCTGGATTCTTGCAGGTGCGCATAAATACACCTGATTTTGATCTTCTGACGAAGAAAACTTAAGTGTCACTTATTGAATTTTATGGATGACTAGACACCACGTGCACGCTATGCATGCTCAGCCTGATCTGGGCTGATCGAGCAACGCAGCATTACCAAAGAAGTTACGCAAAGGATTAAATGAATGCAAAGAAAACAGAGGCACAAGAAAGAGGAAAAGGAGGGTCGGGCATGCTAGCTTTCATTCTATATCCTGTGGTGTTTGGTTGAATGCGGGAGCTGCATCGCAATTAGGAATGTTATTAACGTCCTAATGATAATTGCTTCGTTCTTAAGTTGACATGGTGGCCATACTCTCCGCTCCGAGCGGAACAAGACGGCGAGTTTTTTTTTTACTCATCGCACAGGCGCGCCATGTGGTGCGCGAGTGTATGCGCGTTTGACGCGGAGTACGCTGGGTACGCGCAACTAATTTATTCCGGCATGTGTGGTCTTTGCGTACGCGCAGAACGCCTGCGAGCTGCAAGAACCCGCTTGTAACCACCTGTCTTTCTTTCGCCGATTGGGGGTGCACTTCAGCTCGGGGCGGAATACACGTACTGTTAGGGGAGAAATGCGCCATTTCACGCCCTCCAGCAATAGTAGCACCACAGTAGGAATCTAATATGGTGTTACTTGAATGGTTTTTATGGTTCTGGTATGTTTCATCCATTAATGAGCTTACTCGTGAGAGCTAGTCTGCATAGGTCGGACATACGTTTCCACTTTTCCTAATAGTAGGTTTTTGTGGTTTTGGGTACCTGGCGACCTCCAGCAGCAGTGTTTGATTACGTACATAGGAAGCTTTAAATAGAGCAAAATATTGCCTCCTCTGTAGACTTTGTTCACATAAGATACAATTCACACGTATATTGCAGACTAAGGTGATAAGTAAAGTTACATGTTCATATGCAAAATTACAACTATAAATATAATCTAAGAGTCAAGTTCTGTTTAGTACACCAATATTTATATTTCCAAAGGTAATGTGATACAGCTATAACATTTTCTAGTTTTAAAATAAAGATGGAAAAACGGCCCTGGAATAGGTTTTTAGAGTCTGCTTTCGTCAATCTGCCTTGACTTTATGTATAGGCACTGCAAAGAGAATGGTCAGGAGAATAAATATGCTTTAAAGTGTCACAACAAATAAAAGACCTCGCAATTCGAGATGGAAAGGGTAAGGGAGGGGGGTTACACCTTAAATTTTCCGTTTTCCAGATGATAAACTTAACATTAGTAGTTAGGGGGGCAGTCTGGCACAATTTGACCTTGGGCCGTTGGGCACAGTTTGACCTTTGGCCTAGAAATAGCAAAAGGTCACATCAATAGGCATAAGCATAATAATTATGATCATATGAATAGGATTGAGGTGTAGGGTATAATGTATGGCACAAGATGACCTTTTGTAAGGGATAGGCACAGCATAGGGTCGGAAAGTGTGGTCCAAGATGACCTTGTGTATGGGATAAAATATGAATAAGGCATATCATGGGGTAAAAATTCTCGGTACAATTTGACCTTTATTATGAAATAGGATGATGAAAAATAGGTGATGAGTCATGGGTGGTGTGGTGTCATGGAAAAATACTGACTGGCCCATCGGGAGATCCTAAGATTATCAAGGAGCAGGAAGCGAAAGGGCCGTGCATGCCGTCGGAGAGGGGTAATCCCTAGACGGTGGATTGTACGTGTGGGTGGGCTGTGTAGGGGGACTATTGTGTTAATGATCATTGGGTACGTTGGAAGTGAGCGGTGGTCTGACTTCATCCTTGGACACTAAATGAGAGAGGGCGCCCATAGGACGCATACAGGAAAAAGACCCTGCTGTCCTAAGCCGAGTTTCTTAATCCTTTGAACTAGAGTGTTTTACGTCCCGTTACCCTGTACATGTATATGGTTTTGGCTCTGGCTGATTTTTTTGTTTTGTTTTGTTTTTTAATCTTTGGAACCGGTGTTTTACGTCGGTTACCCTGTACATGTATATACCGTACACAAATTTAATCAGAGCGGAGTGTTGCTCTTTTTATTGCTGGGTGAAGTTACCTTGGGTTTTGTACAGAACAACACCATCAAGGTATGAACACCAAACCTACGTAGTCCAATGAGATTTTGAAACTTAATTAGTATTCAAACTTTGGTGAACTTTGTAAAAAATGCCTTAAGTTTCAAAATCTCATTGGACTGTGTAGGTTTGGTGTTCATATCTTGATGGTGTTGTTTGGAGCAATTTGAACTATAAAAAGAGCAATTTATACAATGAGAAGAGCAATTTATACAATAAAAAGAGCAATTT